GAGCTTTCAGCTCTGACCTCTTCAATCTTCCCTCTGCAGTGTTGGGGGTTTAATTTTGGACAGAACAGTCTCAGATCCAAACTTTGCTGGGATGGCCGTCTTCACACCGGTTATTAATGGTGAGTTCCTTTCCACTCTGGTACTGCAGCTCTCGGAGACTCTTGGCAGACAGTGGAATTGTGCCTTCTTTCAGGCAGATGAAGGAGACTAATTCTCTTTTGATTGTCAGCGAGGCATGGTGGTTAGACCCAAGCTTTACAGCAGCGTGGCTCCCTTTTGCCAGAGCGTGACTGGCCTGGGAGGCTGTTGCCCAAAAACACGTTTTCCAGGGGTCCAATAAAAACAGTCTTCATGTCTTGATTCCTCCTGGTTGGCAGAAGACCCCCATCTTCCAAAATATGTGCCTCGTGGCACCTGGTGACATAAGATTTGAATTTGCAACTTAGAGTCAAGAGATCTAATTGCTTCTGGTGTAAAGCTTTGGCCTTTCTGCCTAGCTAGCCAGGGAGATCCTGGGGGTTTATTACTTTTTTGCAATAAACAGACTTAATTCTGAGCCAGCACATCTTGTGCTAGTGGGTTTCACAGTTTCATTATGCTTAATGAAAAAATAATGGATTTAAACTTCCTGTGTCTGTTTTGGTGGCTGACTCGTCATTTTTTTGTTTCAACGTTTCTTCCAATCAAAGCTGCAGTAATAGAATTGTGTCTGTTTTACTAAGGGGCCTAAGGGGAAACCGTAGAACAGTGTGCTTTGTCTCAGCTCTTTACATCCTGCAAAAGTGGAATTCGGGTCAAAAATAGACTGTCCTACATTATTCCAGCACCTGGCAATTCCAGATCTGCTGGCTGTTGAAAATAGCTCTTTCTCTTTCTCGTCTTTTGAGACATCATCATACTGTTCTCTCCTTATCTGCAGGTGTGGGTGGCAACCTGGTGGCAGTGCAGGCCAGTCGCATCTCCACGTACCTGCACATGAGTGGGATGCCTGGAGAGAGCTCCGAAACAGCCCCTCGCAAGTGCCCCAGCCCTTGCAGCACGTTCTTCAGCTCAGGTAGCCAAGTCGGGTGTTGAAATATTGAGTTGTGCCAGCAGCAGCTGCTGCAGATGGGCAGCTAAACTTGTCTGTGGCAGTCGCTGGAGCACTGTCACAGGAAATGGTGGCTGAACTCTGCTCAGAGGCCGGTGTCGGGTGGATGAGGCTGGTCCTCTGGCCTGCCGTGCCCACTGGAGACGGTCAGACCTTGAGCAGAGCCACTGTGCGAGAGGACGTAGCTCTGCTGGATGAGGAAAGTGTGGTGCAGAACTCCCATACCCTGGCTGTCCACTACTGTAAATCCTCCACCCTCTAAATCTTTTCCAGATGTGTCGGGATACTGAACCTTGCCTTGAGGCTGCCCGAGCATCTGCTGGGCTTACAGAGCTGCAGTTACAGAAAGCTGCTCGCTTAGGGAGGCTTACTAGCAGCTCTGCTGTTTGTGGCAGTGGTGTGGCAGAGCACAGCCCAGACGTGCGTTCCAGCACAGAGTGCAGGCAGAGGTTATCACCCTCCGAACTTCCTAGAGAGGCTTGATAGCCTGCAGCCTGGGTGCTGGCCCTCTGGGCCAAGGCTGTCCCTGAAGAAGGAGGGGTGAGAGGTCTCCAATGTGGTGGCGACCTGTTAGGAAACTGTTCGCCAGACAAGGTACAGACAGAGCTCTGAGGAAATTCAGTCTTTACGGTAAATTCTTGACAGCTCTGTACTGAGCACTGTCAGAGGTGGGACACGAGTCCTTTGGCAGCTGTGAAAAGCTTTGGCTCTGGGGACAGAATCAAGCTGTCCTACTGAGCTTGGTGCAAAGAGTCCTTGGACATCCTGATGACTGGGTCATCATTCAGCATGCTGCCTTCCCACCTGAATCAACAGTGTGGGGATGAGGGTCCAGTGTGCTGGTCCCTGCTTCTGATTTCACCATGGTTGTGACACCATCTCCCCTGGAGCCCAGGTAGGCTGCAGAGTTGCTGTGTGTTCAAACCTGTCTTAAGCCTGAACTCCATCTTTGTTTCCTTGCAGATGTGAATTCTCGCTCTGCTCGTGTGCTTTTTCTTCTGGTGGTGCCTGGACACTTGGTTTTCCTTTACACCATCAGCTCCATGCAAGGTGGACACACTACGCTCACCCTGATTTTCATAGTCTTCTACATGACAGCTGCACTTCTCCAGGTAAGCCGGAGCCCTTCTGGGTGTTGTAACCCCTCAGGCTGGAATAGGGGGATGCTGCCATGTCATCTGCAGTGGGGACCTGTTCAGCCAGTTAAGTTGTAGCTACGCTGCTGAAGGTGCAGCGGTATACCCTATCCCTAGGTGACAGATTTATGTGCTGGGAAGAGGTATGGTAAGTAGATGGTGTTTGTCAAATGAGCTGGTATCCAGGATGTGGAATTTGCAGGGTCCCTGTGCCTTGTGTGACTTGTCCTGCCCTTTCTCTGCCTCCCCTGCAGAGCAGAGACCTGCCAGCTCTGCGGTGTGGGGCTCCTGGTCTCCTCGCAGGAGCTGTGTGAGCCCACAGCGATGGCTGTTCTGAGGGACATACACAGACCAGGGTACTCATGCTGCAGAAATCCAGGAGTCTGGCTGCCCGTGTTGGGGGGCAGAAGAGACACACCAGTTAGGGATTTTCCTGCTAAGCCCAGCTACGCTCCCCCCAGCTCACCCCTTCCGCTCATGGAAGCTGTGCCTGCTTTCAGTGTCCCCTCAAACCAACAGCCGAAGCCAGTGTGAGGAAATGAGTCAGAGCATTCATCAGGGGCAGGAGCGGAGAGCTGTCATCCAGGAGGCTAAATTTAGGTTGCAAACTGCTGCTGGGTGCTTGGGCACTTTGGGAGGGGGCTTCCGCCCGCAGCCGCTCTGCAACCGGGGGGAGCTGGCAGCAGAGGGACCACCCGGTGCTGGGTGCTGTGGTCCTGAGCTCTGCTGGGTTGTGGGCAAGACCCTCCCAGCCCTGGAGACACCAGAGGCATTAGCAACAGGCCTGTGGCCACTTCCAGTCCTTGTCCCAGACCTAAGGCTTGAGAGGATCCAGTGCAGATTTCTTCTATTTAAATATTGGTACAAGCCTCTTGCTGCGTTGGAGCAGATGGGGCACAACATCACACTCTGGTAGTTCCAGCTGCTGAGCAGTTGCTCTTTTATTTCTGGAAGCCAGGTATTGCTGTGTCTTTCCAAGCATCCTGTGTGCTTCCGAGTCCTATATTTGCTCTGTATCTCTCCAGGCTTATTCTGGTTAGATCTGAAAACTGAGATGCAAAATTTAGACTTTTTGGTGTTTGGGGGCCAGTGTTCTCCCTTCTAAGCCTAAATTTGGTGGTGACATGTGAAGCTGAAGAAGGATAGGGCCGAGGCTGTTAAGGACAGAGGGAATTGGGATGCCCAGGGGCCCACTGAAACTTGCCAAGTTCCTCTTTGTGTGGCACAAGGTGGTCCTGACGTGCCACCAGCTCTGTTCCTTGGTCTGAGGTGGTGCATCTCTGAGCCTGACCTGTCCCACTGGAGTTGCCCCAGCGGATGCTCCGTGAGGGCTGCGACTGCAGCGGTCAGGAGTTGTGGCTGATGTGGCTCTTTTCTCCCTGCCTCCCAGGTTCTCATTCTTCTGTACATTGCTGACTGGATGGTGCACTGGATGTGGGGCAGGGACCTCGATCCTGACAACTTCTCCATCCCATACTTGACAGCACTGGGGGACCTAATTGGAACAGGTCTCCTCGCTCTCAGCTTTCACATCCTCTGGCTCATTGGTGACCGAGACTCCGATGTGGGAGACTAGCTCTCCCTGCTGCCCCCCCTTCTCACAGCTCTCCTTCTCCTTTCCTTTTGTTGTTGTTGTTTGTTTTCCTCCGTCCTTGCTCTCCTTTGCTTCTTCCCCCCGCCCTGTCTCTCTTGAGACTTTATCTTTGATACTGGATTCTCATTATTTTCAATGGGAATTTTATGTGGTTTATATTTCAAGCCAAGTTTGTACAGAAAATAAATCTAGTTTTAGGAAGGACAAAAAAAAAAGTGTAATGAGACAATCACCAAGTGCAATTTCATAGTAGTTATGTCTGAACCAAGGTTACAGTGAAGATACTGATCCATCAGATCACACAGGGAGCCCACTCTGTCCCGGTCACTAGAGGTGAAGGGCTGCTTTTTTCGCTTCATAAGCGTTTTAAATACTGGAGGTAAGGTTCAGATTTATTTTACTGAACAGGCACCTCCTAGCAAAGTACAACCTCATGGATGAGGGCACGGGGTATCTCCTGTCTTCTCTGCCCTGCTGCCCTCCTCCCTTGTGTTCGCTCTCCGAATCCCCCTCCTGTGCCTAGCATCCAAAGCATATGAGTCTGTGGTAGAGCCATGAGCTGAGATGCCGAGGAAGGGTCCTTTATGCCAAAACACCCATTCCTGCGTGCCCAGAAGGAGAGTGAGTGATCCCAGGTTTGCAGACTGCAGAGCCCCGAAACCTGGCTGAGTACTGTTTTCACAGCAGCCTGCTCAGTTCAGTTGACTTTCCTTTCCTGGAGGGGTGCATGGAAAAATAGAACTTATTTCATGCATTGAGATTTTCTTTCAGTTGCTAAGTGCTGCTGATGGGCCCATTGCAGCTGGGAAGAAGCCACCCAGTACCTCTCCCGGTTGAGCCTGAGGCATTTCAAATTTGGGATGACTAGCCTGTCGATGTCTGTTGGAAAAGGACATCCATGTTCAGCTGCTGGATTTCTCTGCATGTGTAGGCACCAGCTGGAAAACAGGTCAGCGGCCACAATCGGATTTCTGCAGCCCTGGTGCTTAGTGCAGCGCTGTACGGGACCGTAGCACAGGCACTCGCCCTTGAGCGGGCGTCAGGGTTGCAGCCCAGCTTGCAAGTGCTGAGCGAGCTCTGCGAGCGCGCGGTTCTCTGCTGTGCTTCTTTCCCCTCTGCTTTTTGTGCTGATCAGCTCGGTGGTGGCCGAGGTGCCTTGTCTTCTGCTGCTGGTGGGTGTTGGAAGGGCTCTCACACAGTCTGCAGCGGCGTAAGGAGAGAAGACCTCTTCTGGCTGCGCGACTGAGGCGTTTGTAAATGATCTGAATGCTGTCAGCACTCAATGCTTTTTAGTTTTCCCGTTTGGATATAAATCAATGCAGTGAACCGAGTGCAGTTTGGTGTAAGCAGGTCTTTATTGACTCGGAAACGGCACCCAGTTACACCAACTTTAAACGATGTGCTCGAGCAGGCAGCGCTGTCGGGCTCGAATGCAGCAGTGTAAATGGAGTGTTAGCGTGCGTGGGGTGACAGCTCTTAACATCTGCCAAGGATGGGAAAAACACAGCGTCTCCCATGGAGCCAAATTTCAGTGCTGCACTGCGCAAAGCTTGGGGAGCTGCCAGTGTCTTCCCAAACAGTGGGGGAATGCCTGCAGTATTCAGCTTGGTAGCACCTTCATCCTGATCCTGAAATGACAGCAAAGCTCTCACGTTAGTCTGCTGTGCAGCCCTGGAGTCCTGCAGTCCTGCCCCTGGTCTGGGCACTGCCTGTCCTGCTTATCTGCAGCTCCAGAACATAACCTGAAAGCTGCTGGATTTGTGGTTGTTTGCTTTTCCTCTTGCAGAGGAAGTGTGTTCCTCACAGCAGAACATGGTCATCCTTGATTGGCCTCATTTCCTCCTTTTAGGCTAACTTGTCTCTTTCTCATACAAACCAACACTTGTCTCCTTTTGGCTTTCCGTCCCAGCAACGCTGGGGATCTCTGCTCGGCTGGAAAATGGTGCAATGTGGTGTGGGAACACTGATCTTCATCTGAAATAAAGACAGGTTGGAAGATCTGTGTGTTGCTCTGGACAATCCCAGACTAGCTGAGCTCTACAAAGCCCTGCCTAAGGGCAGGCAGTTTTGCGTTCTGGGTGAGGAGCGATTCCTTAGGAACAGTTCTGCCTCCCCCTAGAAAAGAGCTGAGGGCATCCCTCACAGTCCAAGTCAAGACCAAAGTTAGTCTGGGATCGGGCATTGTCCCAACCCAGAGATGTGTTTGCAGAGCTGCTCCTTTCTCTGGAGATGAGCGTGTTGGAAAGCAAGGTCAGGATTAGTGAGAGGGAAACCAGTTCTAGAAAGCCACGGGAGCAGATGTATCCAAACCAAATGGCAGTCAGGCCCTTGCCTGCTCGAGGACCTCTCTGAAGTTGTAGGAGAGCCCTTTCCTGCCCCAGTCAGTGTACACCGAGTTCTCCTTCTACTGCCTAAGCTGTTCGTAGTGTTCCAGAGGCAGAAACGGGATCTTTGCCCTGTCCAGCTGCTCACTCTCAGACGCTCAGAAGAGCAGGGGGTGTATTTTTGAGACAACTTTCCCCTTTCCACCTTGCTAATGTAACATCAGCCTCGCTTTCCCCTTCCCCATCTTTGGGGTGGTATCTCTGAACCTCGTGCTCTCCACCCTAGTGACGTGACTTCTCACAGATCTCATTTGGCCAAAGCTTTGTTCAAAAAAACCCACAAACCAAACACCAACACACCCCCCAAAAAAAACCAAACCAAAACAAAAACAACAAACCCAGCCCTCACACCCACTGAACTGAAGTCTCAGCCCAGGGACTTCTGGAGTATTCTCTGCTGCTCACCTGATTTCTCTGCCTAATGTTGAGGAATAGATATGAGACTTCCTTCCATTAACACTTAAGCTTTTATATATATATATATACACACATATATGAGAAAATTTTCTGGTCTTTTAGGTGTCACATCACTATTTACTTCCCCAAGATTCCCCAGAGAAAGAATCTCCCATTTGTGGTCTCCTGTAAAATGAAGAGACCCAGAGGTGATGGAGAGCTCTTGTGCTGCTGGGATGGTGGTGTCTGTACGTTTGTATAAGGTCTAAGCTGTACGTGGGGAATAGGTCAGGGAAGAATCTAATTTAAAATTGAAGAATATTGATGGTCAGAAACTTTTCCCCCTGGTTGCACTCAAATGCATGCCTACTATACAGCTGACTGCAAATGAAAAATACTGGTTTACTCTTTTTATTAAAGGAAAAAGACTGTCTTAATTATTTATAGTTCCTATAACTGAATTGACAGATGTCAACTTAACGGATAAATTATATTTGGTTAAATAAAGATGACATTTATTTATGTGGACTGTGGTGTCTTTCCTTCGTATGCCTCTCTACTTGCTTAAAGGTCTCTCCCATTTTGCAGCTTATTTTAGCTCACACCGAAACTCTTTTGCTACGCAGTGGAATGAGCGTTAAGAAAATCACATAAATTGCTGTGCACAAAGCAAACTGGGATTAGTGTCAATGGCAGGTTACCAGGCTGGCTCCGGCCGTGCCCTTGCTTGGACCCGGGTGGCTGCGCGGGGGCTCCCAGCAGGAACAGCGGGGGTTCGTTGCTGTGTACAGAAGCCCTGCCTGGCTTACAGGTGGCCCCTCTGCCTGTTGGTTAAGGTAGGTGGGACAAAAGGGTTCTGCATGGTTTTGGAGGCACGCTCAGCCCCTGGATTTGCAGGAATTAGTGGCCCTTGGAGGACTCCCGTCCTCCCCAGCTGCGGGATTTGCTGTTGTGGATGGTTCTCCTGCAGGGCTGCGCCTCCCGGCCACTCGCCCAAACGAGGGTCGGCTTGGAGAGTCCTGAAACAAATTCCCAGCGATGGGGAGCTGCCACCAGCCTCGCTGGCTCTAACTTCTCCTCTGGCTCCAGGCCGTGCTGCCCCAAGGTGCAGGTCATTTCCCACCTGCTAAATACTCGGGGTGCTCAGGCACAGGGTGCCTTGCTCTCCGGGGGGCGGGAGGGTTGTGTTTTCCTTTTCTGGTTGGGAGGTGAGCGATGGGGGAAGCTACTGAACACGAATTACAGAGAGAAATTTAAGACCTTGAAGGAATCCCGACAACTGGGAAGCGTTGCTTTAAAAATACATACACACGTGTGCGCGTTGGGGGTTC